TGGTTATGCGGCCCGCGCTCGTCATTCTCTCAGTTATCTGGCCCGCTGTGAAAAAAGTTTTGTGACCCCTGTATTAAGATATCCCAGTTGGCTAGACTGTAAGATATCATAAGTGACACCTTTAATCCGTCAACATCATGGGTTCAGAGAATTCCCCGGTGGGTTAGTGATAAGTTTCTGTACTTACAGTGCTAATATCCGGAAATCGTCATTCTCTCAGTTATCTGGCCCGCTGTGAAAAAACCCCTGTATTAAGATATCCCAGTTGGCTAGACTGTAAGATATCATAAGTGACACCTTTAATCCGTCAACATTATGAGTTCAGAGAATTCCCCGGTGGGTTAGTGATAAGTTTCTGTACGTACAGTGCTAATATCCGGGAATCAATTCCTTGCGGTGGACAGAGCGCAGATGGCTCATTGTGAAACTTGTACCAAAGCCAATAAGTGGTCTCAGAGATTGCGAAGACAAAAACAACGATATAAAGTAAGTCATGCAGAATGAACGCCATTCTTACGATTAGGCTACAGTTTTTCATATAATTTGTAACACACATACACAGTTGTAACAATGTAACTGGTACTCCTTTCACAGTCAATTTAGATGTTTGAAAATAATAAATTTTGCGTGTTTAAAAAACAAGTGTAAAGTTGCATCTTCCGTTTTAGCATCAGGTGATTTAAAATAGAGAAGTACGAAAAAAAAACGTTAAATAAAAACATTTATTAGTTGTATAAAAAAATCATAAAAATTTAAAATCACTATATTAAATAAACAGCTGGTAAAACTACCCAAAGAACATGAGACATTGTTAACAAGTTTAATTATTCGATAAAGAAAAGGAATAATGCAAGTTACAATACACTTAACGATAACAAAGACGTTTTATTTCTTTACAAGCTGAAATACACATTCTTTTTCCGGGTTATGAACTTAAGAATAAATGTGTGGGTGCATGCTATGATAAATAACACAAAAATCCTAACTTTCACATAATTATTTATAACATAACATGTTATTACAGTATTCATTATTACCTCACCAAAAGTTGTGTATAAGCTTTGGTTTTGTTTGTTTGTTTGTAGCAAAGCTACACGAGGGCTATCTGCGCTATCCGTCCCTAATTTAGCAGTGTAAGACTAGAAGGAAGGCAGCTAGTCATCACCACCTACCGCCAACTCTTGGGCTACTCTTTTACCAACGAATAGTGGGATTGACCGTAACATTATAACGCCCCCACGGCTAAAAGGACAAGCATGTTTGGTGTGACGGGAATTCGAACCCGCGAGCGCTTTAACCATCTGGCCATGCCGGGTCTGTATAAGCTTTAAGAACTCAATAGGTATACACTTATAATATGGTATACAGAGTGCGATGGTTAGGCGACTTTGTAGGAAGAGGTAGCAGCCAAAGAGTGGCGATAGGGATGCTTTCTGTTACCTGCTTTCAACACCTAACTCTTGATGTCCTTCCACAGTGTTTCGCGTGATTAATTAATGGACAGTAATTGGCCGCAGAAGTATGTTACGGGCAAAAGTTGAAACGTCACGGGTCAAAGTAGGAAAGGGATATAACTCAACAAACGACTTTTAATATTAAGCTTATGGTGGCTGTTGGAGCAGAAACTTCAACAGATTTTATGTAGTTATTGCAATAGTGACGGCTGTTTTTTTCATTGCATTCCTCCATAGAGAGCGCTATCGCACTCTGAAATATATAAGAGGTATGTGTGCCCTCCCACACACTGTGTTTGTGTTATAGAAAATTTTATAAAGTTTTGTTTTTGTTGTAAATAAGTGTCGCCATCTATGGATATAATTAAAGTTAATAATGATTGGAGACGGCTTGAATGGGTAATGAAGAAAAACTTTAATATAAGTTTAACATAACAGCAAATGTTAAACGTTTCGACAAGGTTTTGTCATCATCAGGTACCAAAAGCCATTATTAGTCTCAAAGTGGGTTCCTCGTCATTGAATTTAACGTTAATAATGATTGGAGACGGCTTGAATGGGTAATGAAGAAAAAAATTAATATATTAACATAACAGCAAATGTACAACGTTTCGACAAGGTTTTGTCAT